ATAAAAAAAGTTGGAACAAACATGGTATGTTCCTATACGTCAAATAAACCAGATTGCTCAGTACGTACGTCCTATCGCGATGGGATTCAGGTCGAAGACCTTTCAAATTTACGCTAGCTGCATAATGCAAACCATGTATGCCACACCATCGTTGCATGCGTGTGCAACTTTGAAGGGTATTTTTTGAGAATTAACAACGAAATATGAAAATGGTACCGTAATAATCTAGTCTAGGTCTAAAAACCAACCCCTATTCGTAAAACATTTGGAACTCATCGGGTACGTTTTGTTAAACGATAATAATCGACATCAAGTCAAGTATTGCTGATGTGATTGTACAGTTTATGTTATACCAGATGGCAGATGCGTTAACGAGGAAACCGCATTACCAGAAAAAAATTATAATCCTGCAGTCGTCGGGCTATTACATTAATGAAATCTGGTCTCGTCTGACAGTAAAAAAATGTCTTTGCTTCAAAGATTTTTATCGTGCCTATGATGAATGCCTATTGTGACAATATTATAATATTATAATTTATTAAATCGTTCGAATAGAACTCATATTATGCATTTAAACAGTACATAAAAAATCCATACAGATGTTAGGAAAAACTTAGTGTATTAACGTTTAACAATTGAACGATTTGTTCCACCGACTTTTTGTAGCTTAAATAATACCAAAAATAAGTTATAAAAATATTTAAAAACGATTTTTCTGCATATATTACAATGACGATTGAATGATAAATAGAGCTTATATTTTGTTGTAGTTACCTTTTTATATTATATTACTATTCTAGTTCATTACAATTATGAATAGATAAGCTAAAATTTAATTTTTGACTATAAATAAAATTTAAAAAACTTTTAGACTTGAATATTAGGATTTTTTTATTACTTTTATGATATTATACATAGACAAAAGTACTAAGTTTTAATTTTTTTAGTCACATATTCTTGATGATATTTGTTTATGAATACTAATAACTTAATTATAATACATTTAAAAACTTAATAATATAGCAAATTAAATATAAAGAAAAGTATACTATATTTTAATTTCTTAGCTGTATGATGGTAATCACATTAATATTTTATATAACTTAAAGTATATTTACATTTAAAATAATGTGATTATAATAAAATTTTCTATGCAAAAACATGTAAATCATGTGTATATTTTTGCACTTTAAATACATGTGTCATGCATATTATATTTTCTGATTGTTTAAAATCGAAAAATAATACATTTTTATAACTATAGAGTGTATATTATAAAATTATACATCATACATTAGGTGGATATTTAAAAATGTTTAGTTTTTTTTTAATTTAATTTAAATTGAATTCATATAGTATGCAAGTTTATTAAATAACAAGCACTCGTTTTGTAGTAACCAAAATAGGATTTTTTTTCTTTCATAACAATTTTATATTTTGATATAATTTTAATATTTGCTTACTGAAATAAATTATGAATAAAGTTTATTATCTATGCAAACATTTATAATATTATAGAATATAATATAATATATTTCATGTTTATGTAATAAAGTGAAAAATTGTTTTTAATTTTTGAACCAAAACTTAAAAACATTGAATTGAGAAAATAATCTTTCCATTTAATTTTTTGTTCTCGATTTGTAAATTATACCAATTCATTTTAAATATTTTGAATATTTTGGGCTTACAATAATTTTATATTAAAATAAAGATATTTTCAATAAATGTACTAATTTGTTAATATTTTAAGTAGATATTATAAAATTTTGTGAAATAGATGAACTGCTTTATTCCCATTTGATAAATCATTGAATACATACAATTGATGTTGTAGTATAATAATATACTGTAATTCACTAGATAATAATAAATTATTAAATCTTAGCTCACTTTGATGATGAAACAGTTTAACTACAAAAGAATATTTATATGAGCTTTATATTTTTTTAACAATATCATTATGCATTAAAAATCATATAAAAGACGAAAAACTAATAATATTATAATGAAAACTGGAAGACATTGGCCTTGGCGGGTGACAGTAGAAAATATTCTAGAAGATGGCTATAAGTCGACTACTTATCTCTTGTAGGTAATATCATAACTTCCATAGTAAGTTATGAAATCTGAATTTCCAAATGAGTGTGCGGGAGAATGAAATAAAAACCATATAATAAATTACAATGCGATATTTATCCAGAATGAAACTGACCATAGGCGGGTCGAATGATTTTGGAATACGATACCATTTGAAGTTCTCGGTCAGGGTCAACGGCCCAAAGTTAACGTTTTTTTTTACATAATTTATTATTATTATTTTTTTCGTATAGATATAAATACTCGTTCAGTTAGATTAATTTATCGTTTATTAGACCGGTTCTTTGGAAGTGCATGTAAAGCGAGCCTACGCGCAAATCTCGAGTAAATAACTTTGCGGTACGGGTAATATTATTCAATGTTCTTAGCTGCCACAATGTTTTAAACTCATGTAACGTTCAAACATGTTTATGTCTCCTTAAACCCATTAAATATAAATCCGATAATCGTGTTGTATATGTATACACATTAGATAAATGTCAACATCATAATAATATAATAGGTAGGTAGTAGGTACCGTGAGAATATCCATACCTTTAAGAATCAATAATCATGTCATCAAATGGTGTTATTGTTTTTTTTTTGTTTTTGTTACATAGGTACCTTCTTTATTTTCAATTGTTTCTTCAATCAAAAATTATTATTAATTTTGTTAAATTTTTTACTCAGCGTAATACTTGTGCCATAATAGACAAATAGCTGTTCTTATAAATTATAAAATAAACGCATTAATATTAAAAATAAATAAATAAATAATAGGTCATAAAGTACAATATCTATACGAAATAGATAAAGATAAGTTATCAGTTTGTTTTAAGAAAAAAAAATATAAAAAATAAAAATACTTATTAAAATTCACAATGATCAATGATAAAAAATGAATTAGAAAACTCATCTTTTTGCGAACATCATCTAATGATTTTATACGAATTAAATCGAATTAAATATCATTTATATATAAAAATTATAATTAGGTAATAGATACTAATATTCATGTAATTGTATAAATTTAATGAAATAATATTATTAATAATTGAATAGCCATCATTAATTTATTTAGAGAAAAAAGTATTGAATCTTCGTACTTTGTGGTTAGTTGTTAGTTTGTTATCATTAACATTTTTCAAAAAGTATGGCTTAGAATACAATGATGAAAACTAGTAGACTAAAATATTTTTATGGTACCTGTACATGATACACTAAAACATATAAATATTAAAGTATACAAAAAGTTAACAGTGGATTTAGTATCCACTATTAACATCCACTGTTTCATTTTAAATAAACGTTAACATTCGTTTATATTAGAAATAATTTTTAAACCTTATGTAAAAAAATCAAATATTGTATCCATTTATATTTTGTATTATTAAGGTTTGTTTTCTACTTTCTGATTTGGATTCAAACTGATTTGTAAATATATAACCTTTAAACTAAACAAAGAGATTGAGTGTCAAAATTTTATATTATCATTATAATTATTATATTGTCAATATAAACGATTTAATTTAACTGACATATTATGACAAATAACAAGTGCTAATCACTATATTGCAATGTATAACACTTTTTCTTCTCATTTGCATTAAGGTATGTGTATAGATTTATCTTATAGGTGCTTATTAAAATTTTATTGTATCAATAGTGATAGGTGACAACATTGCTTTTATGACACTTTTGTGTGCCAATCATATTTATATAACGTATTTACCATTAATACACATTGTTCTATATTTTATTTAACTGAAGCTTGTGTGCAGTTAATTGCAAAGTACTTGACAACAAATTAATAAGATATTTAAATTAGAATTTAGAAAGTTTTATGGCATAATATCCATCACTGTGGATCACATAATAATTAATCTTCTGATGGATGGATCATTTTCTATAATTATTGGAATACTTGTAAAAATGATGCTATTTATTTCATAATTAATTACCATTTTTTTTTCAAATTAAGATTTATTTAGTGATCTTTAAATGTATTAATATATAGGTAAATAATGTATAATATATATGTTTATTATAAATAATTTTAGCTGTTATTTATTTATTTATTTATTAAAAATATACGGGTTGCCCCTTTAACATTAAAGTACAATACAATTTATTAGAATAATAGTAGAAAATTTAGATAAATAAAATATTATATGTAAATAACAGAATTACAATTTAATTAAACACTCATTTAAATAATTAAGTAAGCGATTAAAACACATATATTAAACTTAAAAGTTATAAACAGAGTTTAAGAACATTAGAACAAATTATCATCAAAAGAGGGGTCCTCATTAGCAAGTGACATAATTCGTCTTAAAGGCTCATTTTGCAGATAATTAGTGTTGGCGTTATAAAATAATTATATTTATAATACACGAATTATTGTTTTTTTTTATAAAAACTTTTCTATATTTATCAAATATTAATTATTATAAAAATATTTAATTAATATACTTTTGAATAATTTCATGTTTAACCCATTAGATAATTAACGTTAGGTATAATTTATTAAATATACGTCAAATACATGAATGATGCATTCAATATTATGATGTCTTAAAATATAAAATGTTTTTTAATTTAATTGATTTTAATTGAAAGTATAATACAGTTCTAGTTCATTAACAAAATATGAAAAATAAATAAGTGTATTCGATGAACTAGTTGAGCTACCTACATAATTATTTTATTATATTAAAATAATGTTTGTTATTACAAACAGGTCTTAATAATATATATATATATATAAATATATACATATATTATAGATGTATAATTCAGATAGTTGTCGATTTTTACACTTTGATCGAGATCATGTCAAGAATCTATAATTTTTTTGTTTTTTCCATACCTACCGTAAGTCTTTAGCTTGGTTTTACCGAAGCGAATCGTTGGGCAATTACCTCAGTTCAATGGTAGGGAGTCGAACTCCTTTATAAGCCTTGCATCTGGACGTTCCTCGTACACTTCACTGAACTGATCTTCTCAAGTCTGCAATCATGTTCAAGGTAAGCATTATTGTAGTCATTTTGGTATTTTACATTTTTAAAAAAAATATATAGCTATTGTTAAGATAATTAAATTTTTAAATACTATTGAAGGTGACATTAATAAAATTATCGTAGTTTTTACTTACAAATTTTAGTTATTTAATAACTAATAGTATTTGTAGTAGTATAAATCAAGTCAAAATATTTATTTAATGTATATTGGTTCATATAAGAATAATAAGTTAAAAATAAATTTAAAATTCTTTATTCTAGTATAGTTATTTACTGCCAATATTTTTAACATGTATTTTACCTTTTTATGTAAGTACTTATAATTAAAATTTTTTAATATACAACTAATCTAACTATAGCTAATTGTTAAGCCTTTATAATAATAGCTTATAAAATTGTACTATTTTTTTATTTTTAATATGCATAGAATATAATATATAATATTATATTTTTTATAAGTACATCGAAAAACAACAATTAATCTTTTACAAAATATTATTTTATACCATTATACTTTTTATGAAGAAAGTAGAATTTAGGTATCTGCGTTAAATTAAACCATTTTATTAATTTAATTCAAATCTTTAAATTTTCAAAATGTTTTTTAATGGTAGGCGATATATTGCTTAATTTTAATTGAGAGCATAGTGGCAATAACCTTTCTTAACCTCGAAATCTTAATCAGCTCAAGATTAATGCGTATAATAGGTAGGTATTAGTATAATATAATTTACGCCCAAATGTATAATAATCATGACCATCCATTAATTTGCAATTTAGTAGTGTTAGAAAAAAAAAAACTCGTTTTATTTTGTCAGATCAACGAACTATGATCTCAGTGCAAATATTCTAGTGCTCCGTTCCATTTATTATTTATTTATTTGTAAATGAGTAACATTATAATTAAACTACTCACTTATTAAAATACAACATATTTATAATCACATTAAAAATAATATTTTTTTAAATAAAATTCATATATAGTACTATTTGCATAATAATAATTAAAAAAAAAAAAAAAGTGTTCTTTACAATATCCTAGACTAATATTCAAAAAATATTATATTTTAATATTTCAATTAACTGTACTTTTAGAATCTTATAATCCTATACGTATATAAGTAGATTAAAATATTTTGATATTACAAGTTCATAAATTTAAAATATATATAAGGTAAAAATGTTTGTAATTTATTACTCATCAATACATATGACTGTAGTGAATATACAAAATATTTGATCTGTTTTTTTATTTTTTTATACATTATTAATTAATCGTAACAATTAACTAAAAAATTTAAAATAACAAAATAATTTTTTTTAAGCTACTGGTAAACCAATTTTTTTTTTTTTTGTAGCAATTTAGTAAATTTAACTAAACATAATGACGTTTTATTATATTAAAATTGAATAATAATGAATAATGAATCGAAAATCATAATTTTGCGAATATGCGCGTATGATGAGTTATGATTCAAAATAGTCGTATTTATTAACGTAGTAGTTATAGTCTTAAATCGTTTCCAAATAATTTCTATATATTATCTAATCTTGTTTTGACAAAAATATAGTTCGATATTATATATTGATAAAAGCATTTGTTTTCTATTCAATACATTGTTTGTCACCGTATCCGGGACGAAAGTAGTGAAGGGAATCTAGGATGCCATGTAGAGTATTCCACATATAATTAAAATCTTGCATAAGTATAGTTCTTTGTAATGATACCAACGGTATCAGAAACTAACTGGTAATAGAAGCTAATAATATTGTTATTAATACATTAATTATAAGTCATTTAATACGCAATAGTTGAAAATTAACTTGACATGGATTTAATACTTTATAAATACGAAGTGTTGCATTTACTTATGAAATATTGTATAATTTGTTTCGAGTCGACTAAGCAAAAATATATATTTTACTATATAGAAACATATAAATTTATAGGTACTCTCATCCGTCATATTTGTTTTTAAACATGGTTAAAGCGATAAAATAAAATAGTTAACTTGTTATTGTTTATGTTATATATCCCTATGTTAACCATTTACAATGTTGTTTAACTAATATATTAATATATTACAGTTTCTAACTCTATCTTGCCTATTGGCAGTCAGTGTTCAATGCAAGATCTCACAAAATCAGGCTGTACCATACTATCCTCAACCGTATCCGGCAACATATCCTCAAGTATATCCTCAATTTTACTCTGCACAACCGAAATACAGTGTGCAACCCGCCTATGTAGCAACCGCCTCATATCCAGCCCCTGTAGCCTACCGACAAGTCTTTGTACCGTAAGTGTAATATTTTTTAATAAAAATAAAATAACAGTATTATGTTTAGACATGTATAATTTATAAATCTACATTTTACTAAAAATCTACTCTCAAATAAAGAGGGTAAAACTGTATTTTATATTTTGAATATACTTTATTATGATATACTGTAGCATTATTATTTCATAAAAATACATATTAACTATAATTTACTCAAAATCAAATGTAGTATATTACATAATATTATTATATATTCAAAAATATTGTAAAATAATATTAGATACATATATAAAAAATAATACGAGTAATTTTTAAACATCAAATAGATATGTCATATGAGTAATATTTTTAAATTTTCATGATAAATATAGAAATTTATAAAAGCGTCAGATAAAATTAATTAAAATATTTTCTCTTTGATATAAAATATTTATTTTTTTTTTATGTCTTTTTTAGAGCTAATCCTGCCTACAATCCTTATTATTACGGATACGCTCCTTATCCAGCCAATCCACAAGTTCAGCAGTACCCATATCCTTACGTTCAGAATGATGGAACCCAACCCGCTGCAGCTCAACCCGGTTGGGGAGAATACTTGTCAAACAGTTTCTGGAGCTATGTACCTAACTTCCCTTACGTTACGTCTGGAGCTCAACCAACTTCGGAAGCAGAAAGTGGCACGGCTGCTGCAACCTCTGAAACTTCAGGTACGGCAATAAAATTTTAAAAATAAATAAGAACAAAATTATATGAATGCTTTTTTTCATTTACAGCCGAAAACACAAGTCCAGGAAAAGGTGACAAACCAGCAGAAGGATCCAAATCAGAACAAGCTACTAGCGGTGAACAACCTTCTCAATCACCTTCTAAACAATTCGCAGCTTATCCTTTACCGTATTTCGGACAAGCACCTTATCAACAAGCTGTCTATGATCCAGTTAAATTGAATGCAGCGAACAATGGCGCAGTTTCAAGTTTTCTTTTCCCCAAAAGTCAATTTCAATCTGTATTCCAACAACCACAACCGGTAATGAAACACAGCTATTGTTAAATTACGCAAAAGACATAATTCACACTGCATAAATATATTTTGAACTATGCTCTTAGATAATAATTTATAAAAAAAAAAAATTTTAAAACATAATTATTATGTTATTATATATTTAATATACGTTTACACTAATCAAATCGGGTTTTACGGAGACTCAATTAAGAAGTACTGAAATTTCTCTATTTGTTGTCTATAAATTATAATCTTATTAATTACCTAATATACAATATTCTTATTATGTAACTATTATTGACAATTTATTTTAATTTTAACAGGTTGCTGATCAAAAATACTACCAGACCCCACAGTCTAACCAAGGTACCGCAGCACAAGCTTACCAGAGATACTTGCAATCCCAAAAACAATATTTACAGGGACAATACCAACAAGATCAACCGTTCCAACAACAAACGGAACTATTCCAACAACAATATGATCAACAACCTCAGAAAGACGAATCCTCTGTTGTCGTAGATTCTAATGTAACCGGACTCCAAGTCAATGCTGAAGGCCAACAGCTACCACAATCTAAAGTAGCTACAGGTTCGAACTAATTTGGAGCTATTACCCGACTGAATTATTTTATACAATATTCCAATTCAATTATAATTTTATAATTTTATTTTATATAATTAATGTTAAATTAAATCAATATTAATATGATAGTAACGTGAGCCAATTCAATGCACACAATACTATTATTGTATAGAAGCTGAGTTAAAATACGAATTTATTGTCAAATAATAAGTATTTCGAAAATATCCTTGTATTTTAAAACTACTTTTTTCAATATGTAATACAAAATTATTGATTAATAAAAAAAAATGTATTTATTTTGCTTAAATAGTTTTAACACCCTTCAACCAGTTTATATTTTTCATGCGATAATCTTATATCAACTATCTATGACATAATACACTGAAATCAAACTTTATTTTTAAAAATATGTTGAAAAGCACATATTACAGCTCTAGCCGGATCGTTTAAAGTTTATATTAGTTTTAATAGATTAGAGTATTATCAAAATTATACTTTAAAAAATACGAGAGAGGGGGAAAAGGTAACATAAGAACTCGATAATATGATTTTTATTACTTTTTATAAATATAATTTTATTGGCTACATATTAGTGATATTATTATATACCTATGCAATAGACTAAAATGGCTATATATATATAAAATTTTATTTAAAAATCTGAAATTAAAATGTCTCTCGTATGTATATAATAGGTCCAACGATAGCAGTAGCTCAGCCACAGGGTATCGCGTTTGCCGGAATCGGCGGCCGAGCCGGAGCTGAACCTATAGGCACAGCGATTGTAGGAAAAAACGCTACAGCAATTGCAGGCCCCAGTGCTACTGCTATATCACTGGACGTAGCACCAACAATAAACTTAACGCCAGTTCACAAGCTCACAACAGCCTATGTGGCAAAATATGCTCCCGAACTGGGAGTTTACAAAGTGGCTGAAATCAAAACATAGTTAAATTATAAATTTGTATTTAGTACCTAGACACATTTGTGATAATAATTTTATACTAAAATTAAAATAATTTAGTTTTTTTTTATATTTATGGTCAATGAAATAAAATGCCAACAATCTTGCCTGGTTTTATAATAATATAATATACATATTATAGGCAATTCACATATAATATATATATATTTTTTTTTATTGGTCTTTATTCTACATCAAGAATTACGCCATAATCATTTTATGAATTAACATAATAATAAAATATTAGAATTATTGAAAATTGTAAATTTAAATATTAAAAAATAAAAAATAAATTGAAATTGAAATTAATTAAAACTACGTATTTATAACCGGATATAAATTTTATTTTATTTTTTATTTATTATTTTATATAACGATATGGGACGTGCCCAATTTAATACAAAATTAAAATACATAATAACTGTTATTTGTACAAGATATTTTAAAGTTAAGTTGATAGGTCTTTATTGGCTATGTCCATTAATCGGTGTAATGGTTAACTTTTTGCGTAGTTGGTGTTAAAAATTGGCGAGGAAAATAAAAAACTAGTATTAAAGAATGGTATTTTGAAATTAATTTAAGTTAATCGTTCTAAAGAATCTATAAGGCCATCAATAAAATGCTAAAATTCCTAAAGAAAGTCATATTAGCTTCAAATCTTCTGTTAGCTAAAGTATTCGATTCCAATTAGTACAGAATTGGCGAATAATCTTGAGCTGGCTGATAAATTTTTAACACATATGTGACAAAGTTCAGGAACTTACGTTGAATACTTTCAACTTGATTCATACCACAAGAAGTAATTGGATCCCATATAATAGCTCCTTATGTCCAATATTGACCTCGCAAAAGCACGATAAAAAAACTTTATAGGAGTAACTAATTTAAATTCACTAGAACTCTTTATACATGTTAATATGAACATCCAAATGACCGAACAAGTTCCGTCGAGGGTGGTTCAGGTATTTATTTCATAAAATATAATCCATATTATGTAATTACACAAAATGGAGATATTAAAGTTCCGTTTCGTGAAATAAATGTAAACGTTGTCGATTTCCTGAAACAGACAACGCAAAATGGATGTGACATTATACACATAAACTATTATATTGACATAATAATAATAATAATAACAAAATCTTAATTATATTAAAAAAAGTCAATTATAGCAATAATAATTTAAATATTTATAATGATAATTATTATAGGTACAAAATATATCAATCGATATTTATTTAAAAATTATAATTTGTGATTATCAGTTTTCCAAGTAGGTATTTGGATATTTTAAACTTAATTATCTTGTAATTATTCGCGCTATCAAAGCCTACATTTTTAACTATTGGATGATTTATGGAAAGTTTTCATCTATATTCTTCAAATATTATGCATATTCATTAAAATTGTGTATAATAATTAATTGATATTAATTTCTATACACATTAAAGTAGCTTTTTTATTTGACTTTTGATAATGATAGTAGGGTTTTTATTCATCTTATAACCAATTTTTTTATTTTATTTTATTTATATTTTTGGGCTATCTCGTATATTTTTCTACGAATACTGTATTTTATTTGATATTTTACATCCGTGAATGAAGAAATATTAAAAAAAAAAAATGTTATAACAGGGGATAATATGGCCAATTTTGCTTGTTGATTTGCCATTTCATTGAACACTATATAAATTAGGATTTTTTTAAATGTTTATAATATTAAGTGTTTATTATAAATTATAATATGCAACCTAGCTATATTTTGAAATGAAAACAATATAAAAGGGTTTATGATCATACTTCTGAAAACAAACTATTTATGTTGACCATAATTAACTGCATAGTGTTTGAATAATCTGCAAAACTATAATAAATTATCGTGTAATAATAATCTATACAAGTATCCACAAAAACAATTTTTAGTATTCTATTAACAACGAATTCAGATATCGGACAACGATAATTAATATTATAAACTGACACTCTGACCTCCGCAAACGAAATATGCTATAGTTGATTATTATTTTGAACTTGAGTGCATGTCATTAATGGGTATGCAGTTTCATGTGGCATAACACGTTAGACCAGATTATACCATAGGCCTAAACTGCGCGCGAGATAATCATAAATTTTGTTTTAAAGATCGATGACCTTTGATATTAAGTATACGAGGATGGAAGGGAACTTTATAGTCCGGATTGTATCACAATAATACCAGTCTTCATTATATAATCGCACTAAACACAACTGTGTTTTAAAAATAAGGAGTTATGGATTTGACAAAATTTTGGGTGAGTAAAAATGGAAACAAATTTGATGAATTTTACTGTACATATTTAATTAATTTGCATAGCAGTATCAATTAAAATAATGCTGTTATTGAGTATCAATTTAGCAACTATATATGTTAAGAAAACAAAAAGTGTTAATTTATTATTTAAATAAAGTAGATACATCATAATATTTTTGTAAATTAATAAGTAAATAATAAATTATTATTAGTATAATAATTTGTGAACTATTTTTAAATAAAATATTCTATCATTTTCACTTTAACGCTTTAATTATTACTTGCTCAACTGTAAAACAAATTATTAACTATTAATTATTACTTATTTATTTATGAATAATTTTAAGCTCTAAATTTTTAAATATTTTATTTGTGTATCTATAAATTGTAATATGTATAACACATATTTAGAAATTTAGCATTGTTTATTAGTAAAAATGATAATCACAAATCATTGACGTCATATTATTAACATTTCATAAATTTGCATTAGTCATTATTCATTTAAACTGCAATTTGTAAACATTTTATTAACTGTTAAAATTTATTTGTATTTTATAAAATAATACTTGTCTAATAATAAATTTCCAATATTGTCATTTTTCCAAATTTAATGGTGTATACTCGTATTGTAGTTGTTAAAACTAAGTAACGAATAAAAAAATGTGTTTTAAAAATCTATCAAAATAGTTATGTTAATAATTATAGTATTAATAATATTTTTCATTTAATTTAATTAAAACTACAAATTACTAAAAATAATTTTGTTGTATTTTAATGATAACCATTTAATCATCTATTTTAATCTTCTTAGTATAAAATATAATGTTTACGTCCTGAAACATAATATAAGACTTGTAAGTACGAGAAAACCTTCTTTGATTTATGGACACTTACTATTTCTAGATAGAGATTTGAGTGCTTAATAAATAGTTATGAAAAAAAATTATTAATATTTTATTAATATTTAATATAACTATACTTACACTGGTATTTTCTTTTCTTAATAATTATTCTTATCAGATATTAATTTAAAGTCATAATTAATAGGGTACCTACCTAAAATTATTGAGTTATTAAATGCATTATATTTATTATTGTCAATTATTATTTATTACAACTCAATGTATAATATTATGCACATCGATGTAATATTGCATTTATAATATATTCTTAAAATTTATAAATATTTATAACTCTACTTATGTTGACCTTAAACCGTTATATAGAGAAATAAAGTAAAGTAATAATGTAAACACGATTTTCCAACCGTGTTTAATAAATTGAACATTCGTGAAATACCTTATGTAAATCAAAATGTTATTGTTACAATACAATATATCTCTTATAATATCTTGGTATTACTAAATGTAAAATACAATTAAACAAACGGTGATCATGTTTACTAATTACATACTTTTTTTGTACATATGCTTTTAGATTATTGTGGTTTTGGTAGTGTGCTACGAACAATCCAGCATTGCGAACCACGTCAATGTACTCAACAAAAACGATCCTGGCATATCAAGGTGAACGTCATCATTATTACACGTGTATATAATTGACTGACTATAACTATAAATCTTACGAGAGAGAGAACATCTATAATCCCGGCTTTTTTTTACCAAGAATTTCGAATAAAATCAATGATAAACTTTAAATAAACATAAGATTATATTATATCGTGTTATAAAAAGAGTAAATCAGGTCTTATGAATTTGCATTAAAAATTTAAACCGAAATTTGATGTCTAGAAATTGGGATAACTAGGCTAACTCTTGATCAATTTAATTGCATTAATAATTAATTTAATATTGTATTTTCAGATCGAAAAAATCAGTTGACACGGAAATTTATGTAGCACTTCCACCGGAAAACATTAAGACTGGTAAACAAGATAGCCCTCCAGCGTTGATACGTTTGGATCCAAATTCTCCAAATAAGTTCAAGGGCAAATTTCCGACGCCAATTGAACGTTTTATACAACGCATACAGAACTATTTTTCCGTGTACAATCCACCAGAATACTTGAATGACTTGAGACCCGGTATTAACAATCCAGATAATGACGGGTACCAGTTAGAATCGTCGAACAACACACAGGTAGTACTACCATGTAACGGTACGAGCACCATAGTGATCATTCCTGTGCCTTTGGAAAATGAAAATATTTATACCGACCAAAATGCATATTCAGATAAACCTGATTCTTACGTAATGCCGACAACATCAAAACCAAATTATCCAGAAGATGTGACTACCCCAAAACCTAATTGTGTGGAAGTTACTACTCCGAAATCAAAATGTCCAGAAGTTACAACTCCGAAACCAAATTGTCCAGAGGTAACAACTCCAAAACCAAACTGTCCGGAATTTATCACCCCAAAACCTAATTGTGTGGAAATTACTACTCCTAAACCAAAATGTCCAGAAGTTACTACTCCGAAACCGAATTGTCCAGAAGTGACAACTCCAAAACCAAATTGTCCGGAAGTGACCACTCCAAAACCAAAGTGTCCAGAAATTACAACGCCAAAACCTAATTGTCCAGAAGTGACAACTCCAAAACAAAATTGTCCAGAAGTGACCACTCCAAAACCCAAGTGTCCAGAAATGACAACACCAAAACTTAATTGTCCTGAAGCGACTACTCCGAAACCCAAGTGCCCTGAAGTAACGACTCCAAAACCACCTTGCCCCCCCAAACAAAATTTAACAACAAGTGACTCTAAACCTATATCAGGATACGGACCGACTGAAGTTCCTTCCCTAAACTTAGTAGCTCAACCCGTTCTTGGCTCTACCGTTCTTTATTTTTACAAACAACCTACAACCTCACCACCATATAATCCACCAGCTTATAATCCACCGGCCCCTGCATATTACATACCTAATACTCAATTACCTTACGAAGAAAACACCCGAAGACCCAAGCCACCTATCTTACGTCTAAAACAATTATTATTCCCACGCTTATATGCAGCTTTTCATCCTGACGAGTGATGACTAACTAAATTGTATTATATTCAAGACAAAAAAAAAAATATATATAATATTTATAGGACTGTGTTAGTTACACATATGAATAATGATAATTCCTTATTTAATAACAGTTTATAAATGTATTTTAAATTATTATTTATTTATACTACAGATATTTATTATATCAATAACGGTAAAAACATGATGATTTCACTAACACCATGTAAGTATCAATAAAACTTAAATATAATAAATTAATGTCAAACGTTTGTACGTATAATATGTGTTGAATGTGATTTTAAATTTATGTAGGCATCTTCTAATATATATAAAGTATTTGTGTTCCCTGTAAGAATGAAAATACTGAATAATTATTTGTGTTTTAAAATTGTACATATTTATTTAATAATTGTTTTCAACGTACTTTTCACGTACGACAACCCTTTTCTGAAACCTGCTCCGGAGATAGCTATAATCTCCATACTGAATATTTGAAAAAGAAAGTCTTTTCAGTCTATGCGCGACTCTCGCACGATCGTGATATCACTACTAACTAGTGTTGTAGTTAAAATAAATTTTAAGTAATGTTTTAATCATTTTTTATGACGTTCAGGGAATATTTAAAAATAATTTTTGAAATTAAAAATAAATAATACAAAATTAATAATAGGTACTCATAAAAAAAAACAACATGTACGTACACAAGACGAACAAACTTCATTATTGTGTAAGTAATATTATTTTTTTTCATTACCTATCAATCTAACTCACATTAATATTTAATGTATCATTAATTATATAACATATTAATTTTTAATAGATTAATTAATATATTTATGTAAAAAAATAAATATAATACATGATATTTAATACAGATTTAAAATAATGTACTTATGATATTATTTTGTAATATGTATTAAAATTAAAATTATTTATAAATGCTTACATATTATAACTTAAACATCGTAATTTAATTTAAAAGTAATTACCTACAATGGTAAATTTTACAATAGGTTTATTCTAAAGATTATATTTTGGAGTATAATAATTAATGATTATTTATACAAAATAATAATTGTTTATTATTCAATGATTACCTATAATTATACATATTATGTGACTTAAAGGTAGACCATATTAAAAAGTACAATAAAATATCAAAAATTATTTTGTTATAAATAATATATATTTTCTACATTAGGTGCTTTAAATATAAATTAGTAAGTTTTAAACAAGAATATTTTTAAAAATTTAACCTAAAATTATATTATGCTAAACATCTACAGAATTTTCTTATTTTTGTTGTAAATTTAATTTAAGTATTTGAGTTTTTTTTTAGCCTATATTAACGCAATATAGAGTAGGTGTACGATCCGTGTAATTAATACAGTAAAATAGAAACTTATGCATTTCCTATGTATATAATATATATATTTTAAGTGCTGAATGTTAAAGATTTTAACCATAAAATGTATGAATTCTCAAAGCTAAAATTCTAAAAATTAAAATATAGAATATTAAACTAATAAGTTAGTAAATATTTATATATATAAATATGTATAAGATCAAGCATACTTTCAAAAAACATTTTTAAAAATGGGTTAAAAAATATATTCAACTAAAAAAAAAAATCCCGGTTCATGAATAAATTTACATATCTATGAATCATAATACGTATTTTGAATTTTATCGTCATCATTACATGGTTTGCAAATCTTCTATTTATAATATTGTTATTTATGCCAATAAGATGCTTTTAATGTTAATTATATTATACAAGTATGTATGCGAGTATGTGCATTACAACTAATTCTAACGGGAGTCTTAATTAACTAATTATCTAGTAATATCAATTAAACAATATTGGAAGTATTTTAGTATTACAATACGAATTTCAATACTTCAAGCAGTTCTACAATTTTTATTATCTTAAACTTTCTATGTCATGTATTGACCACATTTGCAAATATTTACATTTGTCTATATGTAAATAAAAAAAGGAAACACGATGAGGGCTTGAAACACAATAAACGATGTCATCGATTACTTTTTTCGTCTTGAATTCCAATGACAAGAATTCAAAACTTTCTCCTAGACGACCTAGACCATAAGATAAAATATAAAAGTTGCGAGATAGTAAGTTTATTCATAAATAATCTTTAAATGTCTCGAGAGATAAAATAAAATTACATTAATAATGCATCACAATACAGCTTCGAGTAACTTAAAATAGTAGGTAGGTATAATACATTTTAATTAATTAATAATACTGAGATCCACAAAATATAAAATATTAAATTAAACAACAATATCTAACTAGCAGGATGCAGGAGTGATAAAACATAACAATCTTATGAGAAGATTCTAAATACATTCACTTTGTTTATCATTATTAATCTTGTTTTTATATTTTATTTTTTATTTTTGTACGTCCAATATCATATTTTAGATTGAAACGCTTCAATATTAAAATTATTGGGTAAAGATTGTTACTTTGAAGGAGATAAAGAGATTTGGTTAAAAGTAAAATTATTCTTAGTTATTTTCAAAATAATCAAGAAAAACTAAAAAAAAAAAATATTAAAAAACATACATATACGTACTGTTACGTAATAACTGTTTTTGACAAAATCGATTTTGTTTTTTATTTTATTTTTTTCAATCTGGTCTCATTATACCAGGTATTAATATAGATCAGTTTTTCTTAGATATGGTATAAATAAAAATATGAGTATGTTAGCTCTTTTTATTATTATTGTTAATCTATTATAGCTATCATATTGTGTTGATGTCATCTTAACAAATCTATGTTTTTAAACTTAATATAACTGTATTTTTTGACTAATTTGCGTTATAGTACCTGTTTAAGTGTCTTCTAGCAGCCGATAATTTATAAGTTATATAATAATGATATCAAAACAATCTCATTTTTTTAATCATATTTTTATTATAAGGACTCAAAAAATCATTTCTATAATACAGTGCTTTACCATGCTCCGGATAAAATTAAGATTTTTGAATAGAATTTCACAATCGTTTTATATACTAACGAGTAAATAAATAAATTGAAAACAGAATTATTTTTATTCTAGCCAAAAATAATTGATTTAACTTGGAAAACTTTAAATTTATATCTTAATTTAATATTTAAATAACAAAATAATTAAACAACTTCCAATTTTAGAAAGTTGATTACGAAAGCGTATCTCATAAATTACAGTTGGACAAAATACAATACAGCTTTGTGAAATTAATTGATTATTTAAATCGTTGTTTAACTAATTTCTCATATTAAATAAAATACTAATAGATATTTATAAAATATTATAGACTAAAAAATAGAAAATATTAATCATGAATCGTTTATATTATATCTGATAATACTCTCTTTTTTATCATAAAGATAGAAAACAATTAACAAAAATAAATATTTATTACTACCTACGCATTGCCGTACACAGAAATGTATGTCATACATAAAAACGATAATAATAATAATAAAATAATATACATATGTATATTATTACAAAAAACCTAGACACTTGTATGAATTTTAAATACATTTTAAAATAGGTACAACTGCAACCGATTAAGGGTGTTAATAACGTTTGTTTACTAATAATATTTTATTATGACGAAAAAAATTATCCATATGATTCAAAGATATGTACATCAAAACCAACAAAACTTATGATAGTATTTGTTATATTATTAATTTATATCAGTAAAATCTAAAGTCCTTTCTCTCTTCTCTAATTATCTATGCATATTTTCATAATATATAAACTTAAACATTGTAAAAATTATACTTTGGAATAAAAAAAAAAATTTTATTTTAGCTCTTTTTTCGACTATACAAGGTTATTTATTCAAATTAATATAGATTATTGATGACTGCTTTACGTATGCTCCAATCTAAGTTTAAAATTTGATAATTTACAATACATCGCGTAATTATAATCATTCAAAATATAACAAACATTATTTATTGATAAAGATTTAGACATTTTTAAGCTAGATTAAATAAATATTCATATAAATGATAAATTCCTACTTAACTAAAATATTATTTTGGGATTTTTATACTTAATCAAATTAACCGTATAAGTAAGTTATTACATTCAATTTAATTCAAGCTAGTTTTGAGCTATAATAAAAAACGGATAATAAAAAATAAATCCGGTCTCTTCGTTAAATATGTATATGTGTTATAAATATATATTATATATGCATATGATGAAAGCACGTGTAAATAAAAAAACATCTTATAACAGATTATTACACTAGGACGATTGTAAATAAAAATATAAATAAATATTGGTAAAGATAAACAGTTTTACACTCATAGCAAATGACCTAAATACCCTAAATAGTATTAATTATAATAATAAATTTTCGTGAAAAATAATATTACAAGAAATAAATGAAGAAGATAAAATCTGGTTAAACTAGTTAAAGTAATATAATTACTATATTTTAACAAAAGTCGAACACTAATAACTAATAAGCACCTAAATAAATTAAATTAAACAATGTTATTTATTTTATACAATAATTATTGATACGTAAGATCTTAAATATTATATTATCATATTAAATCGAGCGAGGAGTTATCTTAAGACTTATACTACAATATAGTAATATACCTAAATAATTATTTTGAAAAGTTTATCCGTATTTAGTTCAGGAAAACAATATTAATAAATCGATTTAAGAATTTAATTGATTTTTATCAAAAAAATACATACTTAGCTATAAACTCAGTAGTTTAAAGTTGAATACGTATATTTTTCTTGTAAAGGAAAAGCTTATTTAAGGATAAATCCTACTTAGGTTATTAAATTATGACTATAGCCGCAGAAAATTGTCTCTATGTATTTAACATAATCTAGTATTACTTTAATACTTAATAGTATACAAAGTCGTGACATTTCCACTTTCTCTGATTTTCCACTTAAACCTAATCAAATGATGCACGAAAACCGGTTCTATTGCCCATGTTCATAGATTATAGAAGCATCTAGTGAAATAAAAATAACATTTGACCCATCGCTTTTATACAATAATAAATTACATAGATGTTTAACTAAGTATCGTTAAAGAATTAATCATCAAGCCATAGGCTTTGTTTTGAAAAACAACTAAAAACAATATGTTTCTATTATAAAATATATGCTTAAAACCACTAGGTATGTACATTTAACATTATTCAATATCGAAACAAAAAAAATATATATTAATTATTAAAGTATTTGAAATTTGAGATGTTTTCCAATATGTTTGAATAAAACTTATGTTTCAACAAAAAATTATTGTATTTGTTGAAATTTAATAATATTAATTAAATTTTATTAAAAACCTGATGTAATTTTTAGATTCTAAGTAGAACAAGGTAGCATTTATTTTTAGAATCATATTTTATTTTACTGTTATACTTAATGTTTTTAACACAATTACATATTTTCATGACGTGATAATATTTCAACTAGAAACTAGTTGAAAAATATTTAATAAACACGACGTGTAAGTATAAAATTACAAAATACACAAAAAAAATAACACATAAATATGTTCATCATATCGTTTAATGGCGTATTATAATTAAAGTTTAAATTTAAAACAAAAAATTGACATATAACACAATATTTTTCCACCTTTTCCTTAATGGGATTTTTAAAGTAATTGAAAATACAATTTTTATTTTCAGTTGGTGATTTTCACAGTATTTTGCCTGAGCATATTACAAACGAATGCGGGAATTTCAGTTCTTTTGAGAGACACTGGAGTGATTCCAGCGGTACCAATGAAAGATTTGAAAGAGACAGCGTAATTAAAAATATCAAAAATAATTATATTTATAGAACGATTATATAAATAATGTCATAAAAAAGACAAAATTAAGATATTTAAAATTTAATATAATATAATTATTTTTGGGGAGATTTATTTAGCTACTCATTTGAAAGATAACATACATTTTTAATTTTATAATATTCCGAAATAAAAAATTATTTGATGAATTTCGATCTATAAAAATCAAATTTTGAATAAACAGTTTATTAATTAGGTAAAGATATTTAAAATTATGATGAACGGGGTAACGGTTCAACATTTTGCAAGATACCATTCCAGTCTGCTCAATTAAATTGTAAATACGTATAACTTATAAACTATTCATCCAAAATGCGATTTTTATACATCAATATTCCATAAAAAAATCTTGCTTTATAAGAAATTAAAAATGTACGTTGTCAATAAGCAAAAAAAAATTATGACAATAGAAAATATATTTTTTATAATTGTTAATTTTTTTCTGAAATAATGAATATAATATTATGTTACATGTATAAACATTGATAAACCAGTGTAATTTAGTTATATAAAACTTTAAAACAGAAGACTATCTAATTAATTTTCATACCTTGTATAAATACCATACATGCTTATCAAACGTTCATTTTTTTTACCATTTTAAATAGGTAGTTATTAAATTTTTTAGTGAAAAAATTTACGCAAATAAAATATACAGTAGCTTTTAGATTCAAGCGGAGGAATGAATGTATTAATTTAACAATGATGTGTTATTTAATTAATTTGTGTGTGTCAGTAAAAATATCTTTTGGAGTATTTCTGGTTAAAAAATGAAACTTTAGTGGGTTAAAAGTAAAACATTTTGCTGAAAAAAGCAAGAATTATCACATAAATTCAGTTTTTTCCGGATGCAATGATTTTTTATTTAAGTGAAATTGTACACATATTGTAGTAACTTACTCATTGTCGAGTTACATTCGAAATTTACTATATAAATGTACAACAGAGCGACTAAATACTTTCCCCGTATTTATTTCTTTATTGATATTTACGTTTTGACTGTTTAAAAAATAGTGATTAGTAAATTGAAGTATTTTAATAAATAATTGTGTGACCCAACTACTCTGCTCATCATCTAAATGTTGAACGCATGCAAGTAAAAAAAAAACCATTAGTTCAAAACTCGTTATTTTTTGTACTTCTCTATACGTTTTTGTTAATAAATTATTTTGACTGAAATTACTTTTAAGTAAATTCACGGGTATAGAAAAAAAATATAAAAGTATGAGTTTATGATTATTACTAATTTTTAAACATTTTTTAATAGGACAAATGGACCAGAATTAGCTCGAATTTTCTATTCAGCCGTCGGAAATCTAGTTGAAGCTGTTCCCGTATTTCCGATCACGTTCAACGTACCCGACATGGTAACGGCTTTTAGTAGCATGCTCTCTGGCATGTTCAACTACATAACCGGGAATTATGGTGGCAACGGAGCGTCACAACCCAAAGATGTTCTCGGTGACATGTTCAACATTTTTAGGCACATAGCCGTACAAGAAGACATTCATGACTTAGAGTTCATGACGTAACATATTTTACTATAAGATACCCAAAGTCTACTTCGACAGGAGAAAAGTTTAGTCACCGTCGTCGCTGTTATTTTTTCGTTTTCTTTTTTTCTTTTAAACGTGTCATAGGTAGTATTATTATAATATTGTATACATCTTACTCATTAATATTTAAGTGGGTAAAATCTACTGATTATTTACACATCTTCGTATTATTGTAAAAACATTATTTAACATAATTGGGATTATACCAACCACTAAATAGTATACTTAATAGTATACGTAGTATAATGTACATTTTACACTCACCGTGAAATTGAATAGGCGTGAAATTTTGAACGCAAATAAGTACCTACACAGTATATTCCTACCTTCCTACTTAGTACCACCTATATTAAGAACCAGATTTCTTGCAACTACGTTGTGCGCATATATTATGTATTTTGAATCTGATTAGTAGTTATCCCAATTTATATTTTTCTCTTACTTTCTTGTTGTTAAGATATATATTTTTAAATCTACTTTTTATTGATTTATTATTATTAACACTAGGTATAATACTTATGTATGAGTTCCGCCATCTGATAAATGGCATACCAGTCGATATTAATAATATATATTCAAACTCAAAATGTCAATTATAATGTTAAATAGAATAATCGTGTGTATAAAAAGATGTATAATATGTACCAATTTTTTTTTTAATTTGATTCAAGTTTCAGAATATAAAATAAAAGCTATACTTACTTTTTATCAGTTTAGGTAATTTCTTTATAAAATAATTTATGTTTATTTTGTAATTTAGTTCATATCAATTAAGAGTGAAATGCTTTAAGTATTCTGTGAACGTATTAGTAAGATGAAGGTATCAATTTATTACAATTATAATTAATATAAACATTACTATAAAAGTCTAAAATTTAATATACCAACTGCTTCAATTTATCAAACATACAAGGATTTTAGTTAATCCTCTATTATAAAATTAGTTTACAATATCTCCTTGATCCTTCATACATCAAAATCCTGGTTATACCACTGCAATACATTTAGTATAAATATTTTATTTTTTACATAAGCCGTTAGGTACACTAATAAACGGAAACTAGACGACCTCATTTATAGAATATTTTGTCAATTAAAGTAAAACAAGTTTGTAAAACAGTTAAAATCAGTGGTGTATTGATAAATAAATGAATGTTATGCATGGGTATACGCACTTAAAAGTAGTTGAATATAGGTATACCTTAAAAAATTTTCTCGTTTCACTCGAAACATCTTAACGCTTATATTAGTGTTTAATAAGCTTTATCTTTTATTACAAACATTCATTATTGACGAATATATGTGTCAACTATCAACGTAAATAACTGTTAACTGGTACATTTTTGAAATTTTGGTTATTTATTTTTATAGTTTATAAATTTATTTGCTTTATCCAACAAATATTTTCATAACTATGAATTTTTTTTATGTTAAACCAAAGTTGTGATTTTAGTGATAAACAGGATGTAAACAGGTAGATTTGATTTGATAGTGAGTAGTATTCTGACAGCATAATATTCAATAATATATTCTTTATGGACACATATATTTTAAACTACTATAATATTGATGTTAATATTTAATATTTGCAATATACAGTATACACGCTTGGCAGTTTCCGAATTCCGAATTTCATACGGAGTCGAGACTATTTTTATACAGTATAATAATGTACATAATAAAATAATAATTGTATATTATTATTATTCTTATTTATTTTATACTGTGATATTAATTATGGCTGATGATAAATTAGAAACTTGCGCATACTTATAATGTATGAATTTTCAGTTGGCGTATACCTACTTATAATAGACGAATTTTCTTTAAGGTATGTGTCGTATACCCGCGTATAACCTCCAATATACCAATGGCTTAAAACATTAATATTATTAAATGTACAAAATAATACAACTAAGTATTAAGAATATTATATCGAATTGATAACTATATAGTACATATAGTATATGGTATCAATTTTATATAGCTTAGATATACGCCATTAAATAAAATAATAAATACTTATTATACCTATATAAGATTATTTTAAATATTTATTATTATATTATTAATTGTTATTAAGACTACAATGTTTTAATTTTTATAATAGAAGTATGTACTTATTTATTTTAGAGTTATTAAATTATTATTTATTCAATAAAAATATTTTGATTAATTTGCTTATACATTTTTTTTTTACTACTATAAAATGTTAAAAGGTAGAATCATAAAATATTATAATAATTAAATACTTGTCGATAGATAAATTATAATGTAATCAGTGTCGGAAAATACCAAGATAAATTATCTAGATAAAATTTATTTATCTTTTATCTTATCTAGATAACTTTCAAATCATTTATATTTATCTTCATATAGGTAAAATTTTAGTTATATGTGAGTACTTATCTAGATAATTTATTTTTATGGGCTAAAAAAATAATTAAAATTAAAAATATCATTTTTTTTTTTTTTTTTTGTTTTATTAACTCAGAGAATGACATTTTAATAAATAAACTATTATGTTTTATGTTTATATCTTAAAATATTTTAAATGATATATTTTTTTACCTAATATCTGTATCTATATTACTAAATATTTGCAAAATTAATGAAATTATCTGATATTTATCTAGATAAAATGTATTAATTTTTATCTTTGTTTAGATAAAATTTAGTGTAATTATCTTAATCTTTGTCTAGATAAAAATGAGTTCAGTCATCTTTATCTTCATCTAAATAAATTATTAATTATCTATTCCCAACATTGAATATAATAAATAATAATATATAAATTGTATGCATAAGTGTATAACGTATTTTATAATTTAATTAAATAGATAAAATAATCATGGTTTTTTTTTTATTTGTTTATTTAATTTGACACCTGAACTTATATTTTTCAAATTAATTTAGTTAACTAATTTGTAATTTTAGACAATTTTATTAATCATTAACAAAGATAAATAATAATTAACCTGTAAATATGTAGGTACTCTTTACAATAAAATTATATTAGTGTACTTACATTTAGTCAGTTCAATAAATCATCAATTAAAAACTGTTATATTATAAAATAATAGATGCCTACTACTTTTCTGGGTACATTTATCGTTATGTTTTTATCTACGTCAAAACAACAATATTATCCTGTATCGAGTAAAACGTAATGAGTGTCCGTATTTGAGTTATTTATTCTGCTGTCAGGTGTCTGCATGGCAGTTTGAGTTTTAAAACTTTAATTCAAATGACTTTAAGTGTTGATTACTTTTTAAATAATGTTAATAATGCGATTATAGTATGGTATTAAAATCTTGGACTAAAGAATAGAATAATATTACTCTATGTCTTAAGACTTAGATAATTCAATATCTTTCCCGCCATGGATTAAACGATAATAAAAGAAATACATTACCCTAAAGGTTAGATTGGTGACACTGTATCACGTTATAGATATGTGATAATGATGCACTAAATAAACTCAATTATCAATATGATTTTTTTACAATCACTTTTAAGTTTTTAGTTAAAAAATGACAAGTTAAAATCACAAGACTCAATTAGATAAAACTTTAATAGATTTATTGATTTAAATAGCAATAATATTATGTTAAATATAAAATATGCTATACCTATTTAATCGATTAAAAAAGTACTTTCATTCATCGTAATTGCAAGTGAGGACCAAGTCATAAAACCTTCAACATACAAATATATCAACAGTTTTCTAAAATTAAAAGTGTACGTTCAAGTAAAATTAAGTGAGTACATGAATTACTATTAATTTCTATTAACATAATGTAGATATTTATTTGATTGTGATTTGTTAGTATAATGTCACTCGTGGCGTATGCAGACAGTGATTGTGATTCAGATGATGACAATGGCGAAGAAATAAAGCCATCACTTAATGTTGAAAAAGTAGTGACTAATAAAATTGGTAGTAAACCATTTTTATCGTTGCCTGAACCTAAGTCTTTTGAAAATGTGAAAACGATAGATGATTATGATTCAGTTGTTAAAGAAAAACCAGTAGTACATACAAAACTGATGGTCAATAGCTTTCAAGAAAAAAAAGAAATTCCATTATTTCCTACATTACCTAAACCTAAAACTGGAGGAAAAGTCAAAATAATGGTTTCTTCATTAAATGAAGTACCTATTCATAATTTAAAACTTAACATAAATAATTGATATGATTTTAATCTTTAATTTTTGTAGTTTTATGATGAAGATGACGATTATCAACCAAAATGCAAAATTATGAAACCTTCAAATGTAAGTTTCAATTGTTTATATATAATTTGAGGTAAATTCAAACCAATTTTAATTATTTTGTACAATTTTTTATTTGTTTTTAAATTAGTAAAAATGTTAAAACTTAATTTAAAACATTTTCTAAGCATGACAAATGATGTATTAAGATTTGAAAGCTTATGTTCTTAAATTATATTTTTAGTAAATAACTAAAATAACATATTTCAATGGGGTTTAATTTTAAATTTTAGCCTAAATTGTGGGCATGCATAGTATAGCAGTGTTTAATTATAGTCACTAAATACTAAATAGTCTTGTGATTAAATACCATCTGGTGATGCTTGCTCTTAAATGGTTGACGATCCAAGTTTTTAGCATTTAAGCATTGTGGTGTTCCACATAAGAAAATACACATTTCAAAAATCAACCATATATCGTAACAAAAATGATATATTATGATATATAAATATATAATATAATTTAATGTATTATATATCGCAACTAATGGACTGGGTTTTTGAAGCTTAATATAAAAAAAACAAAATACAATTATTATATACCTATTTGCTATTGCATAGGTTTTAAGCTACATTAATGCATATTTTTGTTAGTAATAATTTTAAAATAGGTATTAATTCTGATTTTGATATTTCAACTACAACTTAATTATCTTTAAAATGTATTTCACATTTTAATCTTTTGTAATTCATACAATATTTTTTAAATTATGTTAACGCCTTGATAAAAAAATAATCAAAATTTAATCGATAAGGCATAAAATGTATATTTTCAAGGTTAAAGGTAATACATTTATTTTTTTAGTTTACCATTATTCTTATATTTTTTGGAACAAAATAAATTGTTAATATATTGCAAGACTTGGAAAGAGTAACTAAAATTTTTAATTATATATTTAAGTATTTATAGTATGATGTTGTATGGTTCAATATGTTTACCCTGTTCACCATAATATTGCTATCAATTAATTTTATTCTAATTCATTTAGTATATCATACGTTTATGAGTAAATTTGTCTTGTGGTTTTACAGAGTGGATGCGGCTTATTCTCCATGTTGCCCGATCCCAAAAATAAAAAAACAAGCAAAGCTTCAACAACTATATCAATGGTTCCTAGGGCAACAATGCGTACAATTAAAAACAATCAAGAAACTCTTAAACCCAAAACAACTGAAATTAAGTGTTTTGAAACTAAACCAATTGAAGTTGAAGATGGAGCTGATGATGATGATGATCAAGAAGATGGTGATTTCTTAGGATTAAACAAAATAAATGAAGTGCTTGATGTAGCACCAATTGCTGGATTTGATTTGCCTGAAATACAAACAAATACAACTATAATTGAAGACGATGACAGAGTTTATGGACCAGTGTATTGTTCTGAACCTAGTGAATCTGACCTTTATGAAGAAGATGAAACTAAACTAATTCTTGACTCAAATGCTGTATGTTTAATGCTTATAATTTTTTTATAAACACTAATATTAAAATAAGCATTTAATACATATTACATAGGTATAATTTAATTAATTATTTATTTATTTTTTATAAAAGTTGAAACAACTTAGTGATCCTGGGAAGACTCAGATAAAACAAGTTGAAGTAATAAATGTGGATATGCGTCAAGTTTTGGAAGAGTCTCAACAATGGTTGCAGAAGAATATGACAGAGGAATATGCAGAAAGTAAAAATGTCAGTAGTGATATCAATATAAGTGGACAATCAAAACGTAAACACCAGATAACATATTTAGCTCAACAGGTAATGATACAAAAAATGAGATATATAATATTATATTATGCATCTATTTTAAATCAAATATTAATATTTAATACAATTTATAAATGTGTACAGGCTAAAGCCAATGAGTTGAAACTTAAAAACATGTGGGCTGAAAATAGAATGACCAGAAAGCAAACACAAGCTAAATATGGATTTTAATTGCTGAAAAAAAAAAGGTTTGTTACTATTAAAAAAAATAAAATTATGTTTTTGAAATAATTCTTAGTGTACATAATATACAAATACAAATTAATTAATAAATATAAAATGTTTAAATAAAGTTATTATTAATAGTTACTCTTATGCTTATATATATGTATTTTTATTATTTTTAAATTTACAATTATAATTATATATTCTACACTCTTTCAGAGTAACAAACATAAATAATTTAAGACTTAACATTAACATACATGGTTAGAGGATAAATCCAATAGTATCACTCTGCAAGCTATTTTATAATTAAATTTCCTGAAATGTAGCAAGAATATTTCATTTTTATAACAGATAAACAGTCAATGTTAACATAAATTTAATATAACTTTGTTATTATTATTGTAGAAAAATGGACTTATTTAAGGTATTTCATAATTTTAATACCTAGTTTAAATTATAAAAACAAGACTGCTAATTTTATTCTTTAAATAATTGTTTAAAAATGATCACATTAAACTAGTAATATTATAAATAAATTAAGTATACAACTAATATTAAACATAAAGTGTGTCTGATATAGTAAGGAAACAACGATTAGTAAATGGAAAGAGATCAATGAGTCTTAAACAGATCTTTGAATAATTTTGAAAAATAAAATAAAATTTTAATATAAAGATGTTATATCTAAATTCTAAATCATTATTTGAGTAAACTATATTAATCTTATATATTTTAATATCAGTGCTTTTGCATAGACCAAAATCATAAGTTAATTATTAAGCTTAAAAACTTTGGTCTAAATATTAATTTGTGAGTGAGACACTAAAGTAAATTATATTATATTTAAATTTTTAAGTTTCTAAATGTAAATAACATCAAATTACCATTTTGAGTAATGCAATTAATTACCGTATATTTTTGTGGTTGATATGATTGATAAGGTGTAATATAAATTATATATTAATATATGTATTATTACTGCTATATTTACAAATTTTATTTTATTAATTACCATGGCTATTTTGTTTTTTTTTAATTGAATATGAAAGCAAAAACATTTTTTTATTGCTAAATATTTATGATTAGATTAATATGAAAAACTTTTTTCAGACCTAAATCTTGACTGCACTAATATAACCTGTTTTAATTATTAAAAAAAAAAATTTTAAGGAGAAAGGATATACGGAATTCTTCGAGAATTAATTGTTTTGCATTATATGTATAAAATAATAATCTTAAAGATTATAATTTATAATAAATGCAAAAAATTAATGGTTAAGGCTCTGGTTAAAAAAAATATAAAAACCAAGAAATTAGTTTTATGTATTTAAGTAACAACAATGAAAATTTGACTAGCATTAATAATAGAACAAACTAATATTGATCAATTATTAATTTCATTGTTTGAACAAGATTCTCTGTTCGGTATAATAAATAATAATTAATCAATATTGTTTCCTCAATAAGTGTTCTCCCCGTAGTGTCATGATAATCGCTCCTATTGGTGCAGTGATCAATATTGCTAATACACTGATTGCCAATACATCAGATGCATATGGTATTAAGCGTTCATCACGACTGCGCGCCATATCCAATGCGATTGGCCCAATAGCTGCCTGTTCAAAATAAATCATAGTTTATTATTTGTCAATATATTTCTTTGCTAGAGAAATAATATGTTTTAAAAATTAATTTTGTACATTTTTTATAATAGTATCTACATAAGTTCGATAATTAAGCACCGGCTATTTAGTATTTCTAATATTATTATTATTTAATAAACATTGTTCGTTGTAAATGCATTTCGAACTATGTAGATAGATAGTATAACTTTAAAATCTTACTTGAACTGTTGCTTTTGGTAACCATGCAATATTGACGAAAATTTTTTCACGTAAATTGAAATTAGTATCCTTTAGAACGAAGAAACACGTAACCACTCTTACCTGGAAGAAAAATAATAATAATTAACAGTAATATTAATAGTAATAGTAATAAGTAATAACTAGGTAGGGCTTTGAAGTTGTAGGAGCTAAAAAAGGAAAAATATGCACGAAAAAATTACAAAACATGCGTTAAAAGTTATGTTAAATATACAAACAAATGATTCTAAATTCCAAAAAAATATTACATCAGATGTTGTTAATAAATTAATAAAATAAAAACTGTTTATAAATTATAACTGAAAAAAAATTGCAGCCGGTTGATATTTTGACATCTTAACGAGTTGAAAATATTATTAAAAATATTTTTTCAGTATTTTTTAATTTGGGATAAATATCTTTGTAGATAATTTTGAGTTTTGTATTCAATATCAATTAAAATACATAGGTTAGGTTAAAAAAATCAATATTTTAAAAAAAATATGATATATGCATAATATGTGTATAAAATCAATAAAATATGCGCTTTTTTAGCTAAAGTTAACAATTTATGTAAGATTAGTATTTTGTATAATTACATTGTACTTGTTCAGTTCAAGTTTCTATCTTGGTCTGCTATAAACTGAGAGCATACATAACAATATGCAATTCCTACAACTTCCTAGTCGTAATAACTTATTGCTATTATAATTTAAATGTGTTAATACTTAATAGGCAATTATCTATAAAATAATTTCGATACAGACACGGGTGTATAATAATCCATATAATATTATATAATACTCATTAATAAATAGTAATTAATAAATATTGCTAAGCGAGTCATAGAGTTCCACGTGGATATCTAAAACATATGGTATATTTGTTTTTTTTTTTTTTTACATTTTTATTCAGTGGTCAATTGTAATGATCATTGATAAGCTTAATAGCGTGTAGTAGACGACAGTGATTAATACAACATTAAACCGATTAATCAAAAATAAAAATGCGAATTCGTGGCATATTATATTATATTTAATTTCATTCTAGAAGTGTTGCGATTGATAGATTTTCTCATCGAATAATAATTAATCAAATGTCGCAAAATTCAACTCGGTTGTTAAATAAAAAAAAAAAAAAAAACTGAATAAACAAATCTCTATTCTAAGTGATTGGAAACTGAAAGTTTTTTTTTTACTTAAATATTTCTTGTATCATCTTGACTGTCGTCAGAAAATAATTCCGTCATGAAATTCACTGTCCATTAACTTCCCTATGTCCAACCGTATAGGTACATTTTCGAGATTTGACATTTTTAATGTTTTGAATTCAAATCCGTTTTTTAATATCATGTATCATCGTTTGGTTAATCAATACACGACTATGACACAAGTCAAAAAGGAAAATGGTGGGGAGGGGGGTTGTGTGTTTGAGAAGACTTGTTTGTGTACAAAGCAATCGCATTATTTAATATAATTTTTTTTTTTAACAAAAATTTTAGGTAATATTTTTAAGGGTTTTACTAATTGGTTTTAAACTTAAGAATTAATTTCTTAATATTCGATTTGAAAAAATAAAAATAAATTTTATAAATTTAAAATGGTTTTGACTTCTGAGACAGTATATTAAGACCCTTAAAAATCAAATGTATACGAATACGTTTTGTCTTTATATTTTACGTGAACCGTAAAGAAAATAAATAGTGTGCTGACATCTTAATAATGAAGTCACAGAACACACTCACTTGTACACCACTATATCTCGTATTTTTTTACACTACACATTCGCATAAAAATTTAACCAAAATAATGCTGGTAATCTGTAGTCGCCCGCATACGTATCTACTAAAAACTTTTCACGGCACTTACCAATGATGTGATGACCAACAAGATGGACGCTGACGTAATTAAATTCGGTCGTATGCTGCTCAAATCGATTTCCGTTCCAATGGAGGCGAACAATAAAGGCTCCATTAAGTCCCACACGTCGTTTGTCGCTATTTCCACGGCGTCCTATGACGATAAAATATTATTATTATAAAATTTTAGTTTAATCAATCTGAAGCCTGATCGATCGTCAGATTAATTTAGGAATTATTACAAATTATTATTATATTAATGCATTTGACGAGCTAGTTGAATTTTTATCTACGCTAAGCCCTGTCGAGTTTTTATATAATTATCTCACCAGTCATCACTTACGCTAAAACTATTGTTTTTTTTCCAGCATATCGCCGAGACAAACGCAGCAGTCATGATCGCCAGAGGACCGGCACCCGGTAAATCGATCATTTTCGATCCAAATGTGAGCAATACTCCGCCGGCTGTTATTATATACGTCCGTTTTATGGTCAAATGTGTCTATAAATAAAACATTGTATAATATTTTTACGAATCATATATAAATACTGTAATTTATAATATATAAAATAATGTAATTAAAAATAAATATATATTATTTTCATCACATCGAAAATTGTCTATATTAATTCAAGTCTAGATTATAAAGGGACAAGGGTGACCTAAAATTATGAAAAATTATCGTTTTCATTTATTTCCTATTTTTATTTTTAGTTAAAAAATCGTTAAAATAATTGCTATTGCAATTAAACAATGAATTATAATTTAAAAAAATCAAATTCATGAATACAAATATGAGTTTTATAATATTTATTTTTCAATTTTTTCAATTTATATTATTTTCATAGCGATATCTAGATACCTATAAATAATGGAAATATGAATATTATTTTTACAATATCAACCAGAACTTCTTACATATTAGCATCTCTAACGTCATTAGCTTTACCCCAAACAACACTTAATCTAAAACTTAGTTAGCTAATTAGCTTATTAATTGTTATGTTTCTATGAAATTTCATATTCATTTATTTTTAATGTATCAAAATGATAATGTTATTGACATTAGATTAGCAGTTATCATAAAATTAACAAATCAATTTTACATTGTCAAATTCACACTGCTGATAAGAAAGGCAACATAGTTCGTGTATACTATGCGTTACACTTGATACGTATAGAAGTAAACAGGTGCTCCTTAAAAATTGAAAAGATTACAATTTCTAATAGACTTACATTTTTCATGACAACTAACAAAGTTTCGAAATGTTAAGATTATTCGAAAGATATAAAAAAGAAAATACCAACACTTGTCAAGTCGATCAGAAAATAGAAATAATAAGGTGTGTGTAATTATATTAGTGTTTGGTTAAGTAGCTTAAACAATAAAGCCATAGAAAATATAGTTTTTGACAAAACATTGCAAAAATTTAATTTAGTTTTTAAATCGAGTGTCAAGATTTATTAAATTCGAGTACAAAAATTCATGAGAAATAAAAAAAAAAATGTAATTTAGTCCAACGCAAATTACATTTATGAGTTAAAAGTGATGGATAGGGATGAGTCAATAATAATAATTAATAGTTATAATTAGTCTAAAACAATTATATACTTAATAGTTAATATACT